AGCCGCTCGTTCTCCTGCGGCGGCGGCGGCGCCAGCATGGCGGGCGGTGAGGCGGGGCGCTGAGGGCAACAATGAGGGGTGGCGGGCGGCTGCCAGCTGGCACCGCGGGCACTGCCGGGGTTGTATCGGCACGGGCGCACTCCCTCGTGCCTCCCCCGGCGCTGCGCTCACATGCCCCTTCTTCTCTCCGGCTCTGCCCTCCATGCCAGGCCCGCCAGGCCAGCGTGCAGCCGCCAGCACCACAGCCCCCCCACCGCCCAAGCGTGCTCCCTCCGCCCGCGCACCTCCATCTTGCGAGCCGCCTCCTGGCCCAGGCGGATGAGTTCGTTGCGCAGCATGGCCGTCGCCTCCTCCCACAGAGCGGTGTCGTCGCGGCCGCCGCCGCCGCCGCCGTCCGCGCTGCCGCCGCCCTCGCTGGCGGGCGCGCCGCCGCGGGGGGTGCTGCCCGAGCGCTGCGCGGCGCCGCGGGAGCTGCGCGGGCGCCGCGTCTGCTCCTCGCGCGACTGCAGGGGGGGCGGGGAGGCAGGGGGGTGGGGAGGTGGGCGAGGGTGGAGGCTGAGGCGGGGTGGCCTGCTGGCCTGCCCCGCATCATGTGCTGTGTGTGCATCCCTGTGGCCCACCCTCCCCCCGCCCACCAGCCTCTGCCCCAGCTGCACGACCCCCTATCCCGGCCCCACCCACACTCCACACCCACCGCCGCCGCCGCCGCCGCCCCACCTGCAGCAGCCTGTCGATCATGGATGCCAGCGCCTCCTTGGTCAGCCCTGCAGACTGGGCCATGTGGTATGCCTGCCGCTGCCTGCACGCGCAGGAAGGGTGGAGGGAGGTGAGGGCCAATGCACAGCCATAGGCAGCAGGTGCTCAGCCAGCACACAGCTGAGAAAGCAGGGGCACCAATGCGAGAGCAGGAGGGGAGCAGCCGGCTCGGCCACACAACACACACAAACGCTTCGCCCCCGCCCTCCACCCACCCGCCCAGCCACAGCGTGCCGACATGGCCGTGCTGGGCGTTGCGCCGCCGCTCCTCAGCCGCCTGCTCGGTGGGGGACAGCGCCGAGGCGGCGCCGCGGGAGGTGGCGGTGGCGCCGGTGGGCGATGTGGCGGCCGAGTGGCGGGCAGCTGCATAAGAGGGGCGGATGGGGTGGGGGCGCGGCAAGAGGGACGGGTGGAGGCGCGGCAAGCGGCGACCAGCGCCTGTGAGCGGCAGCGCAGGCATGGCGTGGTGCCCTGCCGTTGCAAGGCAGGCAGGAGGGCGGCAGGGCTGGCCCCCGGGCGTCGCTGCCTGGCAGCCGGCGCTGGCTCACAGTGGGAGGTGCCCTCGTCGTCGCTCGACCCCTCCTCATCCTCGTCGTCGTCGCTGTGCGCCCCCGCAGCGGCGGCGTCCGCCAGGTGCTGCCTCAGCCGTGCCACCTGCTCCTGGAGGGCCATGATCTGTGTGTGGGCTGCAGGCAGGTCGCGAGGCAGCGGCGCCCCGCTGGCATCCAGGCTGGGACCGATCGTCTGCAGTGCCGGCAGCGGCGGCACCGGGGCGACAGACGCGGTGGCGGGGGGCGCTGCTGCCGCAGGAGCAGCGCCCTCGACGGCGGGCGTGGCGGGGCCGGAGCTCGAGCCTGCTCCCGGGGCGGCGCCTGGCATGCTGCCGGCCGCAGCCTCTGCTGCCTGCACGGCCGCCGCCACCATTGGTGCCACCGGCGCGGCTGCCTCTGGTGCCGCCGACGCCTCCACGCCCTCCACAACGGGTGTGGCGGGCCCAGAGCCGCCGCCCACCGCCGCTGCTGGCGCAGCCGCAGCCGCCGCGCTGTCCAGAGCATCCGTGCCGCCGCCGCCGCCCGCCACCACGGCTGCCTGCGCCAGCTGCGCCGCCTGCAGCTGCTTCTTCAGCTCTCCCACCTCCTGCGTGCGCTTGCTGAGCTGCTGCAGGGCCTGCTGCAGGGCGGCGTGCGCAGAGGCGGCGGCCGTGCCGTCGCCATTCGCGCATGGCACCGCCGGCGCCACAGCCACCGGGCCCGGCGCCTTGCCGGCGGCTGCTGCTGCATTTGCAGGGGGACAGGAGAGGCGTCGGGATAGAGCGACTTGGCAAGGCAATGGCCCACATGCTCTGGTGGCAGCCCAGCATGCCCGCTGCGAGCCCTCTGCAACGCGCGAGCGCGGCTCCACTCTTCCCTCCCCCTCACCTGCGCTCGAGGCAACGGCGGCGCCGCGGCCCGCCGCCGCCTGCACCACCCGCTCCTGGAGCACCTTGTTCTCCTGCCTCACTGTCTGCAGGGAGTCCTGGGTGGCCTGCAGGCACCAGCATCCCCAGCAGGAGTGCAACTCAAGACCAGAGCACAGGGTGGGAGCGGAGCGGGCTCACCGCCCGCCTATTCTTCCACCAGCTGTGCAGAACGGGATGCTGATGTGGCACGTGCTGACGTGGCGCACCGCCAGCTCGCTCATCACCCCCGCCAGGTAGTCTGACGTGCTGCCCAGCTCGCGGCTCTGCTTCTGCATGCTCCGCCGCGCCTCCTCCGCCTCCTCCTGCGCCGCGCGCTGCTGGCGCTGCAGGCAGAGGGAGGCACGGCCCCGGCGGTCGGTTGGATGGCAGGGATGGGGAGGGGAGGCATCAGGGCATGCCCCCTTTGTTGCAAGGCAGGCTGGATGGCATGCACTGCCCATTCCACTCCAGCCCTGGCACCTCTGCCCTGTCCAGCCCTCCCACCCCCCCGCGCCGCACTCACCAGCAGGGTGGCCGCTTCCTCCTGCGACGCCGCCAGCTGCTTGCGCAGCGCCGCCACCTGGCTCTCCAGGTCGCGGGAGCGCAACACCGCGGCCTCCGCCGCCGCCAGCTGGTCGCGTACGGCCTGCGTCTCGCGGTCCAGCGCCTTCATGGCGCCGCGCGCCGTGGCCTCCGCCTCCCGCCGCAGCTCGTCCCGCTCGTGCTGCGGACAGGCGTGGGAGGGAGAGAAGAAGGGAGGGAGCGGCACAGGGTTGGCAAGGGTGGGTTGCGGGAGAGAGGAGCACTGGGAGGGTGCCAGAAAAGCGATGGGGAAGGGCGGGCCGGGCAGACCGGCGGCGGCGCCCACCTGTGCGGCGGCCAGCTGGCGCTTGGTCGACTCGGCCTCCTGCTGCGCGCTGAGCAGGCGGTCGCGAGTGGCCTCCAGCTGCTGCTCCGCCCGCTGCGCGCCCTGGCTGGCCGCCCCCAGCTGCTTCTGCAGCGTGGCTATCTCAACCGAACGCTCCTGCAAGGGATCCAAGCACACGGGAGGGGCTGGGTGAGCTGGCGGCAGCGAGCAGTGTGGCAAGCCTTCCCTGCTCGACCCCCAGGCAGCCGCGCCTGCTGGCTCACCTGGATTTCCACAGACTTGAGGTGCAGCTCATTTCGCAGCCGCGTGAGCTCGTGCTTCAGTGGGCTGTCCTCCATTGCGCCGCTTCGGCGGTGGGTGGGTAGCTCAGCCGCCGCCACTTGGCGGCTTGGCGGGAAGGCCTTGCGAGTGTGCGCGCGAGCCTGCACGGCGGCGCGAGCATAAGCGCTAGGGTATGCACACGAGAGCAGCACCGGAGGACTGGCGAATCCTCCTTGAATTGGCAGAGAGAGATGCAGCGGCGCAGTCCCGGAGGCGCGCACCTAAGTTCTATTCACGGAGGTAGGATGCTGAATTGCGATATGAAGGGTCCCTTGGGCCTGCTCTCAGCGAGCGGATCTTGCAGATTGTCTCGCACGGTGGCGGCTCCAGACGAGCTCCGGAGACCGTGTGCCTGGACCAAACGCATGTGCTTCCTGCGCGTTGAAGGGATTTTGCGCGGGGAGCGCGGCGATGCCAGCTCGGCAAAGATGAAGTTGGATGCAGTGTTTCTGAAAGCTGGCGAAATCGCCAAATGCTGGCGAAATCGGGCAAAAAACGGCTCTGGCTGGCGATTGGCCGAAGGCCATCGCCAGCCAGGGCTGGCTAAATGAGGGCAGGCGGCGGGGCGACATCGCCAGCGCGTCGCCAGCCCCCATGACTGACATCGCCAATATTTTGAGGAGAAATGGCCAATTTTCCTCAGGAACTTCACTCCATAGTGTTAAACAAGCGCCAGCTTGCTGGGGGCTTCGCCCCCAGTCCCCCAAAAGGGAGGCAAGTGCCGACAAAGCAACAGCGGCGCCGCATGTGGCCGCTGCGCTGTGCCAGGCGCAAGGGTGGCTCCCCCGCATTTCGCCAATCCTCAATGTGCCATCGCCAGCTGATTGGCGAAATTTGGACGCGACAGCAGTCCTCATCGCCCGCCCATCGCCAAAGCTGCCACGAGGGCCAGAAACACTGGTTGGATGGGCCTGAAATCAAGAGTGGAGCTGGCCTCTAATTGCCCGGCGATTGATTTGAAAGCTTACTGGCGCAGTCGCAAATCCATTGCACAGCCCCAGCGCTCCACTCGAGACCGACATGGGTGGCGGCAGTCTGGCCAGGGCGGGGCTGCCTTGGCCAGCGTCTACGACAGCACCCACATGCCGCCGGCTGCCCTACCGGCGGCCGGCACCCGCAGCGAGGCGCCAATGCCGCGCCGCCGCCCAGGCTGCCGCCGCGCCGCCCGCCAGCGCTCCGCCGCAGTTCCACACCGCCGCAGAGCTGCCGCCCAGCCTGCGCAACACCACGGCGGTGCTGCAGACGGCGGAGGGCGCCACGGCATACGTGCTGGGCATTAGCCACGTCAGCAAGGAGTCGTGCCGGGAGATTGAGCAGCTCATCCGCCTGGTGCGGCCAGGTGAGAGTGCAGAATGTAGCTCTTGGGCCCAACAGGTGTTTGGGGCAGTGCACTGGACCCTCATGTTCAGCTGCTGGAACGCACACTGCATGGGACTGGAGGCCAGCGTCATGCTGGCCGCCTGCCTGGCGCTGCTTCTGCGCTGGATGCCGTCTCGACCCATGCGGCGCCCCCCCTGTGTGCCTGCCTGCAGATATTGTGCTGCTGGAGGTGCGTGCCCAGCAAACGCCACGGCCGTGCATGCCCCTGCGCGCCGCATGCCATGCTGCAACGAAGCAGCCGCCACCTGCCCGCCCACCCAGCCACCTGCCTGCACACATGCCCCAGCTCTCCCCATGCGCACACCCCTCGCCCCGCCCCTCCCCCGCAGCTCTGCAAGGACCGCACCGGCCTGCTGGTAGACCCCGACGCGCCGCCGCCCCAGTCCTGGTGGACGCCCCGCCTCACCATCAGCGGCGTGCCGGCGGCCCCTGGCTGGCCCACCGCCGCCCAGCTGGCGGGCGGGCTCAAGGGCCGCGGCTGCGCCCCCGTGTCTGCTGCCGACATTGAGGACGACGCTGTGGCCCTGCTGGCCACGGGTGAGCGCCAGGGCGGTGGCTGGGGCTGGCAGCGCTGGGGCTTGGGCTTGCAGGGCGGCGCTGGCTGGCTGGGTGGCTGGCTGACCGGCGGGGGTCACCCCATGAATGGATGCAGCAGGTTGCCGATCCGCAGCGTGGGCGTGGCGCCTGCGCCTGCACCGTGTTTTGCAAACCAGACATGCCCCGCCCCTCCCTGCTCCCCCGGCCTCCTGCAGGGCTGTTCCGCAGCGTGCGTGTGGCGGCCAAGCCGCCCACCGCTGCCGCCGCCCCCGCATTCGCGCTGCTGCCCGGCGGCGGGCTGCAGGCTGTGGCGCCGCTGGGCGAGGTGGAGTATGTGGTGGCGCCACGCCAGCTGCCAGCTGTGCAGCAGCTGTCGGTGCGGGCGGAGGGCGGGCTGGCGGCGCCGACAGACGACGTGCAAGCCCGCGCGGCGGCTGCGGCCGCGGCGGCGGCCGCTCCCGGCGTGGCTGCCTACCTTGCGGCGCGGGCGGTGCTGCTGGAGGGGCAGCCAGACGGCGTCGATGTCGTGTTTGAGGGAGTGGAGGCGGGCAAGCCGACGGCGGTGCTGAGGCCAGTGCCTGCAGGTGTGTGGGCTGGTGGTGCCGCTATCAGCCATGTCGATCCTTGTGCTGGGGCTGATGCTTGGCAGCTTGGTTGGCAGGCAAAGGGCGCAGGCTGTGCACACCTGATCCCGCCTGCCTGCCGGCCCCCCTGCCTGCCTGTTTGCCCCACGCGCAGGCCAGCAGCGCAGCCTGACCGGCCTGGAAGGCACGGCAACTGGCGGGGCAGGGCCCGGCATAAAGGCGTTCAGGCGGCAGGCGCCGCGCCGGCAGGCGCCCAGCGCCAGCGCCGGCGCCGGCGCCGGCTTCCAGCTGGGGGCTGCCAGCAAGGCGCCCGAGGCGGCGGCCGCGGCCCTGGCAGGCGGCGGCAGCCAGCAGCAGCTCAGCGCCAGCCAGCTTGCCGAGGTGGCGCCCTGGAGCCGGGAGCAGCTGGCGCAGGGCGCGGCCAGCGCCGCCGCAGTCAACGGCGCCGGCGGCGGCGGCAACGCCCTGGCCAGCCTGCTGACCTCCACCTACGCCAAGTACCAGGGGGCAGCGGGGCGCAGCGTGGGCATCGCGCCCGGGGAGGCCTGGCGGGTGGCGCTGCGCGCCGCGGTGGCGGCGGGGGCCTCACAGGTGGGCAGGGCCGGCTGGCCAGCGGGGCTCCCCGGAGGCCAGCGCTGCGGCCAGCTGCCTGCCTTGCGGGTGGTGCCTGCGCCTGCGCCTGCGCCTGCGCCTGCGCCTGCGCCTGGGGCCTGCGCAACCACGCGCCCCACCGTGCCTCCACACACCCACGCTGCCCTCGCCGCACACACACACCGCAGGTGCACCTGGGGGACGCCCCCGCCGACGCCACGGGCCGGCGCCTGGCCGACGCCATCCTGTCCTCCTCCCTGCCCACGCTGGCCGGCGGGCTGGCCGCCTCTGCCGCCTCTGCCGTCGTCATCTCCCAGGGACTCCTCGACTCGGGCGCTCCGGGCAGCCCGGCGGCAGTGCTGGCGGCGGCCGTGCTGCCGCTGGCGCTGGCGCTGGCGCCGGTGGTGGCCCCCCTGGTTGAGGTGGCCCGGTTTGCGGGCATGAGCGCTCAGCAGATTGAGGACACAGTGAGGCTCAAGGAGCCGCTGCAGGTGTGCCTGCCGCTGGCGTGTGCTGCCAGGCTGGGTAGCAGACAGTGAGACTGTGGCCGGCGCCTGCACACACACACACACCTTGCTTGGTGCGGGTGTGGACAGCGCTGGGAGCGGCCTGGCCACCGGCCCATACGTACCGCCGCCCCTGCAGGCCGCCTCTGTGGATGCGCCCCTGGTGAAGCTGTGGGGAGAGGATGCGCTGCTGAGCTGGCCGGGCGCCATGGAGCCGATCATCCACCGCAGGGACGCCTACATGGCGCGCAGCATCGCGGCGGCCGCCAGCGGCAGGCCGGAGGGCCTCACGCCCGCCTACGTGGCCACCCGCGTCCCGGGCGGCGGCGCGGTGCTGCAGTACGCGATGCCGCAGGGCGGTGAGCCGGGGGCGTGCCCGGTGGGGCAGGGGGCGGGGCAGTATGCGCCGCTGGCGGGGCCGCGCAACGTGGTGGCGGTGGTGGGCACGGCCCACGTGCGCGGCATGATCCGTGAGTGGGTGGCGGCGCATCGCGACGCATCCCTGCGGCCCCTGCTCTGAGGAGCAGGATGCGTCCATGGTAAGCTCCGCGTGACTAGCACTCCGCATGTGACTGATGCTGCTGAAGCTGCAATGTTGAATCAGACAGTCACGGTCAAAATAAAGTCACTTGATACTGTGATGTCAATAGACATCAAAAGAAGTGCACGAAAGGCTCAAAATCAATTGGGGCGCCGGCGGCGACTTGCATGGGCGCGCAATGAGACAACCCATGCCAGGATCGCCCATTACTTGGCGACGGTAGCATTGAACACCCATGCGGGCACGACCACGCGTGTGGCGTTCAACAACTGCAGCACAGCAAAATAGGGAAATCGAAGCTGTCAGTGGAGGGTATCGTACTCCACCTCGCCTGCCCTGCGCTGGCCGGCAACGGAATGCATTCACCACAAAAACAAAGGCCTTGCCTGTGGAACATAGCCGACGATCGTCTCATTTGTCGGCGAGTCAGGAACATCCCAATAATCGCATGTATGGTCGTTCCTGCGCAGGTACATGCAGGTATGGACGGGTGGGACGCAGCGTGGCCGTGGCATGACTGACTGACAACAAGCTTCAAGCACGCACTTCACTCACCAATTCGTCTCCCAAATCTCAAGGTTGGGGCGGTTCTGCACAGAACCAAGGCAATTCGCATTGTTTCTTCTTAGCAAAGCAAAAAATGCGTGGTGGAGACAGGCTGGTTGGGAGCGTGCCCGCTGCACTCCCTCCACCCCCCCCCACTACCTGCCGCCGCAGCCTCACCTGCAGCATCACGTTTGTGTTCCCATCTGCATCCTCCACAATCCAGATGCTGCTGCGGCTCTGGTGGTAGTCGGGGAGGGGCGGGATGGAGGGCACCTCATCCAGACGGTACACATACCTGCTTGCAGGTGCATGGGGCAGTGCGGAAGGTGTTCCAAGGTGCCACTGTCGCAGGGCACCGACAGCCAGCAGCAAGCCAGCCCAGCGCAGTAGAGTATTTGCTACTACAGTACAGCACTTAACGTACTTGTAGGCTCGACCAAAGGTGGCCTGGGCAAGGATCACGAAATTCTCGTCCCCCACGATCGGCCCGCCCTGGTTGGCCACCGTCACATCCGCGCCCGGCCACAGCTGCGCCGCCCACACGCCGCCCAGCTCCGACAGCGCCGCCCCCAGGCTGAAGCCGCTGCTGACGACGCGCAGCGGGGTGGTGCCGCCCGTCAGGTTGCACACCGCATCCAGCAGGGCAGACATGGGCACGCCCAGCAGGCACGACTTGGCGCCCTCCTCCACGGGCGTCACGGCCAGGCTGGAGAACTGGCGCCAGAAGCCGCTGTGCACCTCGACGTCGGGCACCACATCGGAGAGGCGGTCTCCCGGCGGGGCCTGGGAGAAGGGCGCAATGGCGGTGGTGAAGTCCTCGCTCTGTGTGGCCTGGGCATCAATCAGCCAATCCTCACTTTCCTCGGTGTACTTGAACAGCAGGTACAGAGTGGCGCTGCTCTCGTTCCTGCACAGGGAGCAGCAGTCAAAACAGGCGGCGCGGCGTCGATACCACCGCTGCCGTGCATGGGCTGCACGGCCAGGAGCATCGCCCCGGCAGGCAGGCAGATGGCAGCGCAGGGCACACACCATGCCACCACGGCATCGCCGTCTGTCTCGGGATCTTTCATCATGATGTGTGGCATGTCCTCAAACACGTCAGTCCCATAGTCTGCGTCCTTGCCAAAGCCCAGGCAGCTGCGTGCGGTGTTGAGTGAGGCGGGCAGATGGGGACCGTCAATGGCAGATTTAGGGTTTGCCAGCACCGAGAGAGCCACAGCAATCTTCTGTCTGCAACATTCGTGCCTTGCCTCCATGCATGGGCGCACACTCTGCCGACCCGCCCACCCATGCGCGCAGCCCACCTGAGCGCCAGGGCCTCCCGCGTCTTGCAAAGGATGGGAGGGCACTCGCTCTCAGGCAGCTGCGCCAAGGGAGGGCAGCGCAAAGAGGAGCCGGCAGGTTGGATGGCTGCCACTGGTCAGGCAGGGGAGCGGCAGCAGGGGCCAGAGCCATGCCGCTGGAGGGCAGCATGATCAGGAGGGCAACACGCACCTGGTACTCCTCTGGCAGGTTCACAGCCGGCCCCAGCTCCCCCAGAGCGTCCTCTGCATTGGGAGACCGGAGGGCAGCAAGGAGGTTCAAGCCAGCGCACTGCGCATGCGCTCTGCGTGCACCTCTGCGCAGGCACCCCTGCCTGCGCACCGGGGTCCCAGCCTTCGTACGCCTTGGGCACCCAGGAAGGCAGGCTGGGCACTGCCACCGCCTGGGCGACTGTCTCGGCATTGATGAAAGGGTTCACAGCCTCGGCCATCGCCAGCAGTGGGTCTGCTGCAACACACGCAGGCCGGGAGAGAGAACGCGTCGGCATGGGCGAGCAATGTGAGGCAGCAGCAGGAGGCCTACTGTCGTGTGTATGCATGCCACCCAGCATGGCGCACCGGCGGTTGCATTGGGCTGGATGGCTGCCAGGTCGAAGGGCCACAGGTAGTGCAGGGTGACCAGCTGCTGGAAGGCCCAGGAGAACGGCGGGTTGTAGGCGGGGCTCTGCAGCAGCATGCGGGTGTGAATACTCGATGCAAGTGAGGCGCACATATGGCGGTGCCACCCCCAGCCCATCCAAGCCATGCGAGCAGGCTGCGCCACCCACCCATGAATCCCCAAAGGTGATGACGTCAGCGTTGGCGGTCGGGTAGCGCAGCGCCGCCCAGGGGCCGCACAGCGCTGCCAGTTCCGCGCCCCCCGGGTCTGCGCCCGTGCACACAATGCGGTGCAGCTCTCGGCCGCCGCTCACCGCCCCCACCGCCTGCAACCAGCCATGCGCAGTGGGGTCAGGGCTGGCTGGAGACGAGCTGCACTGCACCTGAGCGGCAGCAGCCGGGCGCAAAGCAGTCGCAGTCCCAAGCCGCTGGCACAGCTCACATCCGCCAGCGGGCCCTCCCCCTTGGTGGCGCCGGTGGGGGAGAGGAGGGAGGAGAAGGCGTCCACCACCGGCGCAGGACCCTCGGCGGTGTATACAAAGGGCTGGAGGAAGGGCACGCGCTTGCCTCCCGTGGCGGCCTCCGCCTTGGCGCCGCTGCTCGTGGAAAAGACGAGCACCAGGTCGCCCTCCCACGGGCTGAACAGCTGCACGGCGCCGTTGGTGAGCTGCACCGTTTGGTTGGGCACCTTGCCCGACTGCCCGGAAAGCACGTACTGAAGTGCGTAGGCCGTGGTGGCAGTCATGGGGTCTGCAGGCGGCGTCGGGCGGCGGCAGGCACATGGATGGCATGCGGCTGGACCGGCTCGCTGGGTGCTGCGGCACTCACTGTAGGTTTGTATGGGCCTAACGTAGGAGGGGTCCGTGGCCGCAACGGGCTGCTCCTGGTCCTCCCCAAACCAATCGAACAGCCCCGCCAGCCGGCGTCCTGATGCCGAGCTGCCGCGCAGAGCGCAAGACAGCAGCAGCGCGAAAAACAGCGCTCGTAGCTGTACCATCTTCCTGACGCAAATTGTGCTGTATCCAAACCGCGCTCAGGAGCCCGGCACCTCCAGCCCTGGGCTCCCCGCACCGAGCAAAGTGTCGGTTTGGGCCGGATGACGCCTGCAAGCAAGTCTCGGAGGATGCCACGTCGACTTCATCCACCCCCCGCTGATGCCGCCGCCAGCCCCTTTTCCACGGAGTGGAAATCCACCTTGCCCTAGCATGTACCATCGAGATTCAGAGCCTATGGCTCTGAAAATCAATGCGGAACACTGCCCGGGCTTGCAAGCGCTTGATATATGATGCGTGTCTAACGCGCACGGGGATAGTTGTTGCAACGCCAGGCGCGCTGATGAGCAAGAAAACAGGTCGCCGTACATGTGGTGATCAAATCAGATTGAGAGCTCGATTGGTTTGTGGCAAAACAGCATCTACAAAATCAAAGAGCAGAGCAAAAAAGGTGGCGCCGAGCACCGACTGTTGTTGGGCGCAGCTACTGCTGCCAGGGCTGCTGCACCGAATCCTGCCCCTGCCATGGCTGTTGCCCCGGCTGCGGCCCAGGCGTCTGCTCCTGTGCCGCCTCCTGCTGTTGGGTCAGCAACAGGCGTCGCAGCTGCAGCTGCTGAGGCGTCAGCTGCGAGGTCTGTGTCTGCGGGGACGCGTACGTCGGCACCTGCTGCGCCTGCTGCACTGCCGGGTATGCCTGCTGCTGCTGCGCCTGGAAGCCAGGGGTCTCCACAACTGCCGTCTGCAGCACCAGCACTGCCTTGGAGGCCAGCTGATACACGCCGCCGCTGCAGGCAAGAGGGCCGCGCACGCTGTGTGAGTGTAATCAATGATAGCCCAAGTGAAACTAGCACCAAATGGGCTTGTGGGTTTGCATGAACACGCTTGTCATGCAGAGGGCCTCATGGCAAGTCCCCCAACATCTGCCTGGCCCCTTCCCACACACGTGATTGGCTCCCCGCCCTCCAGCAGCGCATCATCCGGCGCCGCCCGGGATGTGTCGACGATGCGCTCCCACACGCGCCCCGGCTGCAGGCAGGGGGGAGCCAGCGTGGAGGGGTCCATTGCCATGCGCAACACGTCGGGCAAACTCAGCATGCAGCTGCCTCGTGGCAGGTTATCTTGAGCAGCCGGGATACGCAGTCTGCCATCCAGCACAGCCGCCAGCGCCTGGCAGCCTGGCAGCATTCGGGCCCAGCTGGGGAGGACAGTGGGAGGCGCAGCCGCCCTCACCGGCGGCGGCGGCAGCCTGGCGGTGACAGGGTGCGGGTGCGGGTTGACGCCCACATACACCGACTGGCCCTCGGGGCCGCGCACTGCGGCGAGGGCACGGCGGCGGCAGCGTCAGGCGGGCGGGGGCCAGGCGGGTGAGAGAGGGGGTGAGAGGCCTTGCCCCTGCGGCCCCACACACTCTGCAGAGCATGACCAACAAAAGCAAACAGAAGCAGCCCCCACGAAGAGGGGCGCAGCGAGCAGCGGCGGCGAGGCCGGCGCGCACCCGAGAAGGCAAGGAAGCTGGTGTCTAGCTTGCCGCTGCCCGCCGCCTCGCCCGCCAGCTCAGCATCCCAGATGGGCGCCACCGAGGCGTCGGCGGCGTGCCAGCGGATGTCGCGCGGCGAGTCGAAGCGCGGCGGCAGCAGCAGCGGCGCCAGGCGGCGGCGCAGCCGCATCAGCACGCCCACAAAGTGCGCCGCCGCCAGCTCGGCCACCGCATCCTGCACCCGGCCAGGCGAGGGGGGCAGGGCGCAAGGGCCAAGGGGGGCGGGGTGGAGGCGGGAAGGCAGGCAGTGGGCTGCCGGGGCTGCCATCCAGCCGCGCAAGCAGCGGCACGTGCTGCTCGGCAGGCCCAGAGCCGTCCGCTCAGTGCAGCCGCAAGACCAGGCTGCCCAGCCGCTCCAGCACCTCAGCCCCAGCCCCACCAGCCCACCTGCGGCACGACGGGCACCCCCAGCGACAGCACCGCCAGCGCCAGTAGCGACTTGGAGATGGTGGCGGCGGAGGGGGGCGGCGCGCGGGCGCCGCCGTAGGCCACCGCCGCCGCCGCCAGCTCCGCCGCCTCGGCGCACAGCTCCGGCAGCGACTGGCGGCCCAGCACGGTGATGCTGTTGATGCCAAAGGCGGGGCGGCGGCCTGCATGAGGGGGCGTTCGGTGCATGCATCAGGGGAAGCAGGTCGCTGCAAATGGGCCAGGGAGCGGAAACCCCGCGTCCAGCCCAAAAAGCGCCACCACAGCCCTGCCCGCTGTGCTGCCTCCAGCGCACCTGCCGCCAGGTTGCCCGGCAGGCCGGAGGCCCAGTCAGCGTCAAACACGGCGGCGCTGCCCATCAGCCGCCCCGCCACCGCCGTCAGCAGGCCCGAGGTGCCTGCACGCAGGCAGGCAGCAGCGGGCGAGCGTGCGTGTCTTGATCAGCGATGGCCCAGGCTGGCCTGCTGGCCAGGCATTCCAGCTGCGGCCTAGCCATCCACACACCGGGCCGGGAGCCGCCACCTCCACACCAGTCCACAGCCACTTCGACACCACCACCCGCGCCACCACCACGCCCTCACCCTCCGCCATGTACGCCAGCAGGTCGGCGCCCCAGCCCGTGTTGCGCTGCATCCACAGCGCCCAGTGCGGGAAGCCGCGGGCGCCGCCGCGCGGCAGCAGCGAGTCGTCGGAGGCGAGGGCCACCAGCTTGAGGGCGCGGAGGCGCGGGTCGTGGCACACAGCCTCCGCCAGCGGAGGCGCGTCAAGCACTGTGCCGAAGCGGTCTGCATGGTGGCGGGCAGGTCATGGCGGCGTGGGGAGTGTCAAGAGTCGGTGGGCGAAGCCTGGGGGCAGGTTGTGCAACGGTTGGTGTGTGCAGGCAGTCGGGTGCCGGCCGGCGCCCCACCCTGCACCAGGTTCTCGGCGTTGATGAAGCAGAAGCCGTCCACGCCCTCCTGCACCCCGGGCAGGCAGGCAAACCGGGCCGGGCGGTGAGAAGCAGCAGGTCGCAGGGTAGGCAGGCAGCGCGCCGGGTGCATCCCAGGCCCAGGCCCAGGCACAAAGCTCCACCCCGAGCACCCCCAGTCGCAGGCGCCCGCGCCGCCTGCGCCGCCTCACGTCCGCCCAGTGGCGCAGCACGTCCAGCAGGTAGGAGCGTGTGGCGGGGTCTCCGCAGTTGAGCACGCCGTTGGCGCGGTAGTGGGCGGCGTGGTCCAGGCCGCGCAGGCAGAGGGTGTGGGGGGAGGTGTCGGTGCCCTCGGCGGTGAAGGTGAGGTCCAGCTGCGGGGTGGGAGGGCGCGCGCGCGTGTGTGTGTGTGTGTGTGTGTGTGTGTGTGTGTGTGTGATTGCAGGGGGGGCACCTCGAGCGTGCGCCTCTCTCGCTCGCTCGCGCTGGCCACGAGGAACTGCACTCCCGGCAGCCTGGCGGGCGCTGCATGGACCGACTACGAGTACCAAGCGCACCCCCTGCCCAGCCCACCATGAGCAGCACTTCGATGCCGGCGGCGTGCAGCGCCGACAGCATGGCCCGGAACTCGGCCGCCGCCGCCGCGCTGCTGTCGCCCGCGGCGCACGCCAGCAGCGGGTCGGCGGCCATGTAGTGCACGGCGGCGCGGGCCATCAGCCCGATGCCTGCGCGGGGAGGGTGCAGGGAGGGGTGAGGGGAGGGAGGGAAAGGCGCCGAGGGAGGGGGTGGGCGAAAGCAAGAGCCAACCAGCGGCACGCCTTGGTGCACACCCACACACGCACCACCCTGCCTGCAAACCCGCATACACACACATACCTTTGGCTGTGGCGTAGCTGGGTGTGAGCAGCACCGTGTTGGCCCCCACCGCCTTGATGTGGCCCACCCGCTCCGCCACGCCCAGGAAGGTGCCGGGGTGCTGCACGCCCTTGCCTGCGCATGGCAACCCGGGGGGGCGGGTGGGTGAGTCGGGTGGGTGGCATGCACAGCAGGCAAAAAGATGCAGCCTGGGCAGCATGATGACCGCGACAAGGGAAAGTGGGGACGGGGCAGAGGCTCAGCCCGCTTGCGCACTGCCTGGCCACCACGGCACACCCAGCCGTACACAAGACACAGGCACGCGCCCGTCCCTCCCCACTCACCCTGCGCAAAGGTGCGCACATCCAGCTCCAGCAGCCGCATCTCCTCCAGCGAGTGGCCCGGCCCAGGCACAAACAGCTGCTCCGCGGCCGCCACCGCCGCGGGCCCCGCCTCTGCCGCCGCCGCCACGCCCTCCAGGCTGCTCAGCACCGCGCGGCTGCTGCCGTCGGGCAGCGTGATGATGGGCAGGGGCAGGGCTGAGGCCTCTGTGGCCATGTCAGCAGGGAAGTAGCGGAGGGAGGGGCTGTAGGGATCCAGCAGCAGCTGGTCTGCAGTAGGGTGCAGGTGGAGGGGTGTGCACACCAGGTGGGAGGTCTGGTGGCTGTGCGGAGGCCGGCAGAGTGCCGAAGCAGAGGCCAGGGGGCGGTTCAGCAATCCCCTCTCATCCCAGCGCGCATCACGGCAGCAGCAGCAGCGGCGGTGGCAGCAGCAGGGGCAGCGGCGGCGCACATGGCTGCACTCGGTAGCCCGACTCCCAGCCCACATCCCCTTCCACCCGCCAGCCGTAGCACAGGCCGTCCAGGCTGTGCAGGCCCTCCACTGCAGGCACAGGAGGGGCAGACGCGAGCAATCGTGGGACCTTCGGTGATTGCTGCCGCTCCTGCTGCCAGGGCAGTGCCCCAGCCCAGCGCCCCCCAACCCCAACTGCCTCCCACGCAGCCACCCCACCAGCCACCAAACACCCACCAGCCCCTTGCTCGCACTGCGTCAGCATGCAGCAGCGCACCTGCCACGTGCCACATGTCTCCGCTGCGGTTGAGCACCGGGTCCAGTACCACCTCCAGCATGCCCCACTCCCCGCCCTGCCCCACCCCGTGCGGGCGCAGCAGCACCAGCGACACGCGGTCGACGCCTCGGCACCGCACCGCAAAGTTGACGGTGTGCTGCTGCTGCTGCTGCTGCCCCGCGGCGCCGCCAGCCCGGGCCAGGACTGAGGAGGGGCCGGGGGCTGGTGCGGCGCCCGGTGCCGCCGCCGGCGAGCCGCTGGACTCCAGCGTGGCGCCCTGCCGCGCGGCGCTGCCGCCGCTTGTGCCGATCAGGGCCGAGAAGTGGCGGCCGTGCAGGGGCGTGATGAAGTGGCGGCGGGGAGGGCGTTTGGAGGTGTCGGCCTGGGCGGCGGGCGGCGTGACGCAGATGACAAAGGCGAGGGTGAGCGGCGCCAGGGTGGAGGGCACGCTGAGCGTCACGGTGTGGGTGGCGCCCTCGTCGGCCGCCGCCATGGCGGTGCACATGGCGCCGGAGCGCTCGTCGCGGCTGCTGCCTGGGGGCACCACCTCGGGAGGGTGCTGCCACAGGTGTGGGGAGGAGCGGTACACGCCCCTGCGGGCGGGGAGGGCCAGAGAGGGGCAGCCGGTGGCAGGTGTGCTGGCTGGCCAGGCCTGGGGCCCGAGGGCTGGGCAGGTAGATTGGGCGGCAGCAGCAGCGGCAGCACTGTGCAGTCCACACTGCTGGGAGCCAGCAGTAGAATGGCAGCAGCAGCCGTGGCAGCAGCAGCAGCGACGGCGGCGGCGCCAGCACTCACCAGTGCAGCTCCACGGTGGAGCCGGGCGGCACCCTGCTGCTGCCTCCCAGGCTTGTGTCCAGCTGGATGCTCAGCTGGTCCTGCTGGTTGCCGCCCTGGCGCACTATCTGGACCTGCAAGGGGCCAAGGGCGTTGCGCCAGGGTGACGGGGTCGGCTGCTGCCGGCAGTGGTGGGCCAGCAGGTGCCAATGCGACGATGCAAGGCTCTGGCAGCAACATGCAGCAGCACCCACCAGCCCGCCGCCCTTGCAAGGCCATGCGCTGGTCACGGCAGCCTTGCTGCTGGTGCTGGTGCTGGTGCTGCTGCTGATGGCTGGTGCCACTGCAATACCAGGCACGCTGGGTGCCGGGGTGCCAACTTGCGTGCTGGGTGCTGGGGCCGAGGAGGCGGCGGCGGCGGCAGCGCTCTTCGCGGCTGCTGCCGCCGCAGTGGCGCCCTCCGCTGCTGCCGCCGCCCTGACTATAGTCGCTGTCGGGCGGCTTCCGGTGGCCCCGAGGTGCGGCCGGTACGCCTCTGGAGCTCTCAGCCGGTTTGCACTCCGTCGACGGAGCACTCGGCCTGGCAGGCCGGGCAGCTTGGGGGCGCATGCTGACCGGCAGCGCCCCTGATCGGCTGCTAAGGTTTGCATATCGGCCCACGGTCCAGGCAGAGATGGGGCGGCCCGGTGCACGACCCTTGTGGGGGTGCTCTCTGCGCTGAATCTGCGCCTGGTGAGACGATGCTACTCCTGGTAACTACCAGAGATCAAAGGTGCGCCTTTGTTCTTTTGGGGTCGGCTGCCCCGTCAGCGCCGCCAAGATAGAAGTGATGGGATTGAATCCCCAGCAATCCTCTGGAGCCCTGGTTCATGTTCCCTTGATTGATGGCTCTGATTGCCCTCCTACACTGGTCAGTCACTTTGCAGTCTCCCTGCAGACATGCAGCCGCCTTTTCCGCTCTCCCGCCTTCAACCTAATGCCACATAAATCTCTGGGCGTCGAGGCCAGTTGCAGCCGGTTGGCAGGCAGGCTGGACATGCACACAAAGCGGAGCGAGGTGGAAGCAAGCAAACCGAGGCAAAGCTGGGTTGAAAGGGACAATCTATCTCAGCAGCACTGCACCTGGTGCCGCTCCCAATCGGAGGCCATGCAGGCAGGGGTGCAGTAGGCGACACGGCCGCAGCGCGCACACTTGCGAAACCCGCGCCCCTCGGCGCCGCAGTCGGGCCGCTCGCACACGCGCACCTCGCCGCGGCGGCGCTGGCCTTGCGCTGTAGCTGCCGCAGATTTCGACGTGGCTGCGCCAGGCTTGCCGGAGGCGGAGCCGCCGCCGTGCATCGTGGCGGCGCCTTTCTGTGGAGCCCTCCTGCTGCGCGCCACCTCCCACTGCGCCTCCTCTGCCTTGACGCTTGCAGCTGTCAGCGCTGCCCAGGAGTTGGGCATGGCAGCAGCGGCCCAGGACGGTTGCTGCGCCACCTCTGGCTCCTCCTCAGACTCAGTTGTGTCCGACGGCGGCGCAGCGCCTGCAGGCCTTGCTGTTGCAGCTGGCGCAGAGGGTGCTGGCTTCGGCGCCGCGGCTGCCTGTGGTGCTGCTCCGCCAGGTGTTGCCTTGCCTGGTGCTGCTGCTGGCTCCGGCACCGCAGCTGCCCCTGGAGCTGCCTTGGCTGCCTGGCGGCGCCGCTGGCGGCGGGCTTCGGCCCGCCTCGACGACCCCGCTGACGGCGCCTTGGCGGGTCCATTGCCAATGCGCGCTGCCACCGCGTGCCACAGCAGGCTGACAAGGGCCCACAGGCGGCCCAGCAGCTCGCTGAGAAGCCCAGCCATCACGGTGATGGTGACCGGCCCACGACGTTTGGAGCGGCTAAGCAAGCAACCGCGACCTCCAGTCGCGACAGGGAGGAAGGAACGAGCCGGCGATTGGGGCCGAAGGCGGGCTGCCGAGTTTGTCTTCCCCCGCCGCCCTGCTGTCGCAGCGTGCGGGATGCAGCAGCCATTGGAATGGGGACCCCTCACCTCCTTGCCTCCAGTTTACCATCTTACCATCCCCTTGTATAACTGTGGTATGGATATGTGGGCCTGCAGAGGGTGCGGTGCGTGCAACCCAAGAGCTGTGCGGCACCTGCCCCCAGATGCGGCAGGCCAGGCTTCTGCTGTCCCACGAACACGTTGCAGCAAGCGCCAGTGTGAGCAAAAAAATGGGGGAAGAGCAGGTGTGGCAACGGATATCGGATGAGCACAATCAAGAGTAGGGGGGCATGGCACACAGGAGGGAGGGCAGGAAAGCGCCAACAATCTACAGGGGCGGGCGATTCGCCAGCTTTGACCGGCGACAGCAGCAGCCAATGCGCCGCTGCTATGCCGCCACCACAGCAGACGCCCTCACTCCATCATGGCATCGCCGCCGCCGCCGCCATGCCTGCCGCCGCCGCCATGCTCCTCCTCATCCTCGTCCAGCCCCAGGGCCGCCAGGTCATCCAGCAGCTCCTCCAGCGGCACCTCAGGCACATCCCCATCCTCCTCGTCTGCAGGAACACAGGGGTGGTGGAAAGGACAGTCAGCAGCCTTGCCAGCCAGCAGCACATCAGCAGGCACACCCATGCGTTTGCACACTGAGTGAGCAGGCAGGTAGCGGCCAGCAAGAACCGCACCCGTGTCGGACATGGCCGCCTGCTGCCGCGGCGCTGCCGCCGCGGAAGCTGCCTGGTAGTTGGGGTCGCGGTACAGCGCCACGCGGGCACGCATGTCGGGGTCCTCCTCCAGCTCCTGCACGGCACGGGAGGAAAGAATCGTGTGCGTGGTGGGTGAGTGAGGGAGAGAGCAGGGCAAGGCCAGAATGGCAGATGGCAGGATGGCAAAATCGGGTGGCGGCAACGGTAGGTGGTCACGCGCCCCCCCGCATCAGGCCGCCTCCCCTCCACCACAGACTGGGCTGTGCACCGCACTGCCAGCCAGCCCAAACCCCCACCCCACCTGCATGAAGCGCTCCAGGTCCGCCTGCTCCTGCTCCAGGCTGGACATCCCGCGCCCGTGGTGCGGCTGCTGCGCCGCCGCCTTCTGCGCCGCCGCCTCCTCCTCCCCAACGTCCACCGCCAGGCGCTTGAGGCGCCAGGCGCGCTGCTGGTCGCCGCGCGCGCGCCGCCGCCGCCGCCGCTCCTCATACGACTTGCGCACCAGCACCACGTCGGGCAGCGTCAGGCCCTGCGGGGGTGTCGTGCGCGCGCACGTGTTGCTCACACACTTGACGGCTGGGACAGTAGTGCCGTGTGCCGAGCGCCAGCGTCGGAGCCGGCAGGAGGGGCCGGCTTCAGCACAGCAGGCCGCAGCCAGGGCCGTCTCTCCGCACACAGGGCCCCGCACACATCAGCAGCACCACCACACACCGCCCGCCCGCACACCCGCGCCCGCCCACCTTGTGCACCGCCTTCTCCAGCTCCGGGTCCACCAGGTTGGCGTTGGCCACGTCGTATCCCACAGCCGAGTCGCCCGCGTGCAGCAGGTGGCCCAGGTGGGTGCGCGCAAAGAAGGTCTGCAGGGGAAGCGAGGGGGGGGGCGCCGCATGGGCTGGGATGGGCCGGGGCGCGGTTGCGCGGCACCACGCACCCCGCTGGCCGCATCCATCCACCTCCCCTGGGCCCCACCACATCGCAGCACACGCCCACCCACCCACCCACCTGGTCGTTTGACCCAAAGTCTGCGGCACGCGCCACCTCGCAGCTGGCCAGCGCCCACTTAGGGTTGTGTCCATACCCGCCTGCGCGCCAGCGCATGGGGCGGCCAGGCACGCACAGGTCGGCAGGCAGCGCACAGCTGGGCAGGCGGGCAGGCACGCAGCACAGGCAGCGTGGCGAGGCCCTTGCAGGCCCGGCCCACAGGTGCGGCCGCCGCCACCCCCCACACCCGCACCCACGCACCTGTGGGCGCCACCACCTCCGAGTCGAGGATGTAGAACTCGGTGAGCTGGCGGCTGCCCATCATGGGCTTCAGCGGGTTGCGCCAGTAGGCGCCCGCCTCTAGCACCGCTGCAGGGGTGGGAAGAGACGAGGGGCGGAGGGGGAGCACAGAGGGCAACGTGAGGGCAGCGAGAGCACGGGGGCGAGGCGCGCGGGCACAAGGAGGCGGCCCTCTGCGGTGCTCGCCCCGCAAGACGGCCTCCCCCACCTTGCCGCAGGCTGAGCGGGTCTGTGAGGGTGATAGCGTTGGTGACGCGGGTCACCACCACCACTGGCCCGATGTTGCCCAGCGAGGCCGCCAGCTTGGCGGGCAGGCACACCAGGTCGTCCTGCAATGCGGGAGGAGGAGGGGATGGGTAGCAGGGGTGGTGGCGGGGAGAGAGGGTGGCAGCGGAAGATGACGCAGGCGCTGCTGCGTGGCGCACATGCAGCAGCAGTTCTGGCAAGTGCACGGTCATGCAGCAGGGCAGGCCCTCATTCCACGTTTGGTGTCGGTCATGCGCCCCAGCAAGGGGGGATCCGACAGCAATTGGACATAAGCAAACACGTGTAATCACCGGGCTCGTGGCTTCCGCAGGGCGCAGCGACCCGCCACCTTCTCCCACCGCGCTACCAGCCCAGCCTTCCCGACCTCCCAGCCCGCCCTCCCAGCCGCAGCCCAGCCCCACCCAGCCTCCCCACCTTGCACAGCGGCGCCACCTCCACCGAGAAGGTGTACTTGTAGTTGTAGTTGGAGGTGTGCACGTCGTGGCTCACCAGCTGCTTGTCGTGCCTGCACGCGCGGTTGGTGGGTGGTGGTGTGTGTGTGAGTTTGAGCAAGGAGGGGACAGGCGCATGGTTGTGGCACAATGATGGGAAGGAGGGGAGAGTAATAGTGTGAACTTACTGTGGGGTTGGGGTGGCAAAGGGCGATGCTGCAGCCAGCAGGCCTCATGGCAGGCAGGCAAGCAAAGTGCTGCATGCACGGCTTTTCCACCCCTCCGCCGCCGCGCCCCCCCCATCCCCCCCACCCCCCCACCACCACACACACACACACCTGTAGCGTATGGGCACCGCCGTCTGCAGGAAGTCGATGAACTTGATGGCGTGGGCTCGGTTGGCAAAGTAGAAGTCGACGCCCTGCGGGGAAGAAGTGAGAGAAAGGAGGGGAGGGGAGGAGGGCGCGTGTCGGCGTGGAGCGTGGCTGGTGCAGGGAGTGCTTGTTGCACCTCCCTCCACCAATGTCCACAGCTGACATGCCCATGCCTGGCCGCACCACCAGCTGCGTGGTTACACACACACCAGCCCCCCCCCCCCCCCACACACACCTCGTGCATCTCCTTGACGTTGACGCATGACTCGTCGGCGCTGTGCTTCAGGATGAGCTGCTCCAGGAAGAAGAAGGTGCGCTTGTGGCTGACGTGCTGGCGCACCTGCGGGCAGGCGCACGGCGGGCAGGCAGAGGACGCCAGCCATACAGGCTCAGCAGCAGGCCGCGACGAACATGGCCAGGCATGGCAGCCGCATTGGCGGCAGCGTCAGCCCAGCTGCATACGGCCACCAGGCATGCAATGTGTGAGGGCGGGCTGCCTGCCCCGGGCTGTCGCCGGAGCCACACCTGCACGCATGCCACCCATGCGTTGGGGTTTGCGTTCTGGCGGTTGCAGGTGGGGCACATGTAGCGCTCCACAACATACTCCACCACAAACGACTGCAGGCACACAGCCGGGGATGGGTACCCAGGGGACAACGGGATCGGTTAGCAAATGCAGGCACCATGAGGGCTGCTGGGGGCAATGTGCAAGCGGCAAGGTGCACAGCAGTACATGCTGCGGAGCGGTGGCATGCAGGGCCGCCTCCGCCGACGCATCCACCTGCCCACCTGCTGCAGGATGGCGCCGTTGAGCACCTCCCCCTGGATGGTCAGCTTGACCTTGAGCCGCATGCTGCAGGTGCAGATGGATGACGGCATGTGGGCAGGGGTGCCGCGAGGAAGGGCCAGACCAGGCCGCAATGCAGGACCTGCAGCATGCCGCAGCGCCGCCCAGGCGGCCACCCTCACCTGTGCGGCTCTGTCCACACAAACGCGGCATCCACCAGCTTGACCTTGGACAGCCCCCTGACCCGCTTGATGCAGTACGTCAGCAGCTCCTTGGACTCTGTGGGCAGGACAAGACAAAGAGACGAGGGAGCAGGTGAGAGAAGGGCCGCGGAGGCTGGCAACGACCGCGCAGCACGCGGCCAGCGGCGAGCAGGGCGCGAGAGCAGCGGCGCGGCGCGCCACCCACCCAGGTCCGCCTTGAGCCAGTGCTTGGGCGGCTGCAGGTAGCGGCCGCAGCTCTTGCACCACAGCACCGTGACCTGCTTCTGGATGCCCTCGGTGATGTCCACTTGGGTGCGGATGCAGTTGACGCACATGTTGGTGGGGTTGGGCGTGATGGAGGTGCCGCACAGGCAGCATAGCCTGCGCACAGGGGGAGGCACGAGTGCCGCTGAGCTGCCCGCGGCCAGCCAGTAGCCTGCCGCCTGCGCCAGCCGCCGCTGCCAGGCAGCAGGCGCCGGCGCCACCGGTCTTGAGCAAGCATGCGGCCGCCCCAGCGCTCTCCGCCCGTGCCACGCCACTGTCCAGCTCCCGTGCCGTGGGTCTGCACCGCATGCAGGGCCGTCACTCACACATGCCCTTGCGTCTGGTGCGGCATGAAGGTGCCCGCCTGGGGGGCTGCCGCAAACATGGCGGGTTCCATGGTGCCGCACTAGTCTGCCAATCCACAGCCCAGGGCTCCTCGATCACCCCGTCGACTGCTGTGTCTTGGCAGGGACAGACTCTTTTGCAGGCGCCTGGAAGACGTAGAAGTGCACTGTAAAGATCCAGAGATCCCCAAAATGCACACTGATTGCCCGGCAGGCCCACTTGGAGAGGCAGCAGGGGGCGCGGTGACCCAGGCGGGACGTAGCGGAGGGGAGCGAAAGGGCCGGGGGCAGCCTCCGCAGGCCTCTTCAGACAGGGTGGCTGGCTCGGAGGTAACAGCTGCCCATGACCAAGTACGCGAGGGCCGCTGGCAATGAGGCCAAGGCCGCCAAGGTGCGCTGCGCGGGCTGGAGCGTGTTTAGGCCCGTGTCCTGGATGCCAGCGTGCTAATTTACCCGCCAGGGGCGCTTGGGGCGCCACAGCTGGCTGTGCATGGCATGGCGGGCCCCGCACGGTGCAGCAGAGGCGCAATCAGCTAGGCGGCGGCCTCCACATCGATGGAATGGGCCAGCAGCAGCGGGGGAGCGCGGCAGCGTGTCATCGGGCGCACAGCCAGTGGCAGGCCATCTGAGGAGCTGTGGCAGCTCGGAGCCCCTCCCAGCCATGGCTGATGGCGGGCAGGAGGCGACATGGGGACGGTGGCGAGCCGGCGGCTGCAGCTGGCAGCAGGCACTGGGTGGCGGCAAGCGGAGAGCGGCGGGGTGCAGCCGCAGGCCGGCCGGACGGCAAATTTCCAGCAGAAGCGGCAGCAACAACATCACTGTGGCGCGCAGCTGGGCCCTGGCTTGAATCTGCTGCATGTGCCGCCGCCGCCCTGCCTCCCCCGCCCGCAGGCCCGCGGCTCCGACCTGCGCGTGCACTTCAAGAACTCGCGCGAGGCTGCCCGCACGCTCAAGGGCATGCCCCTGGCCAAGGCCAAGGCCTACATGCAGGCGGTGATCGACCACAAGCGCTGCGTGCCCTTCCTGCGCTTCAACGGTGAGCGCGCCGAACAGAGCAGCCCGATGCTGTTCCGCGTGCTGCTGTGATGCGCGGACCATGCGCGGTCGCCATCGTATTGCAGCGCTTGGTCAGCTAGCTGCACATGCCAGCTCGGCTTCAGGGTGGGACACCAGCTGCTGGAAAAGGAAGCAGCAGCAGCAGGAGGACCGGCGATATAGGAGGCGACTGGCAGCAGGCGGGGGAGGGGAGGCGGCTGGACCGCCGGCAGCAGCACTAGCAGCACTGCGGCAAATGAGCTGTGTGCCTCGGCAGCACTGGCCCACTGGAGCTAAACATGGCGGTAGCAGCTGCAGCGGCGCGAGAGGCTCGGCGAGCAGCACAGCACGCAGTCGGCAGCTTGCGCAAGCTGCGGCAGCTGGGGACGCGCTCGCCCCGACGTGCCAACTTTGCCACTCGTGCCCCCAGCTCACCAGCCAGCCCACCGCGCAAGCCGCTCACCTTCTGCCACATTCGCTTCTGCCACTTGACCTGCCCGCTCCCTCCGCCTGCCCCCCTCCTTCCTTCCCCCGCCGCAGGCGGCGTGGGCCGCACCAGCCAGGCCAAGAACGAGGGCAACAAGATTGGGCAGGGGCGGTGGCCCAAGAAGAGCGCCGAGTTCCTGCTGGGCCTGCTGACCAACGCGGAGAGCAATGCGGAGGGCAAGGGCCTGGATGTGGATGCCCTGGTGGTCTCCCACATCCAGGTCAACCAGGCGCAGAAGGGCCGCCGCAGGTGCGGGGCGGGGGCAGGGAGGTCGCAGGGAGGGGCGGAATGGGTCTGTCTGAAAGGGAGAACGAACAATGAACAGCTGCCCCGGCGCTGGGCCACGGCCGAGGGCGAGCACAGCGTGGTGACAGCGGCAGCGCGGCACAAGAGGGTCGACCACGGCGAAGCGTTCAGGGCACGGCGGCATGCGCCGAACTTTTGCGGCGCATCACACCTCCTGCTCGCCAGCATTGTTGCTGGAGCGATTTGAGCCGGTTGCCACGCTGCTCACGCCGCTTGCTCCCTGTCGCGCGCCCCGCGTCGCTTTCGCCCCGCCCGTGCAGGACGTACCGCGCCCACGGCCGCATCAACGCCTACATGTCCTGCCCCTGCCACATTGAGCTGATCCTGGAGGAGAAGGACCAGGCCATCAAGGCGGAGGCGGAGGAGGGCCGCACGCGCAAGCTGAGCAAGAAGGAGGCGGCCAAGAAGCTGCGCAGCGGCACCACCAACAAGAGCAGCTAGGCAGCCGGCGGCGGCGGGCGGGCGGCTGGGCGCGGCAGCAGCATGGCGCCGGCCCAGACGCTCTGACCCCGCTGCTTTGGTTGCATCCTACTGTAACACACTAGACACGCAGGTGGTGGGGAGGAGGTGGTGGGGAGGAGGCGAGTGCATGGGGCGAACAGCGGCGCCTTGGAAGTGGCGGCAGCAGGCAGCGGCGGCAGGGTTTGTCCTAGTCAGAAGAAAGCGCGTCGAGAATCGAGATAGGTCGCGTTTCGCCCCCTGCGGCGGCTTTCTCTCGTCCCCAGCCCCCCTTGGACCGCGCGCCACCCACAACTGCTGTGCCTGCCATCTCTCCGACACCGTGAGTGGCCCCTGTGAACGCAGATTGCCGCTGATGGGGGCACAGCAGCGCCCGCAGCGAGGGTGCGGCGGTAGTTGTGGGCGCGCAGGCCTGCCCGGGCGGGGCGTGCTCGTGGGTTCGAGCCCCTCTTGGCCAGCGGCGGCGGCGGCGCCGTCACTGCTGCCTGCCACACCGGCTCACCTCCCCTTCCTCTGCACGTTGCCGTTGCAGACTGGCACCATGTCCACCTCAGGCACGCGCGTCACGGTGGAGCGGCTGGGCCCTGTGGAGTCGCTGACCGGTGGGTGCCGCTCGCCTCCTCCCTGCGGAGCCCTGGTGCGCTTCCCAGCCCTGCTGGAGCTCTGGAGTGGAGTGGCGTTAGCTGCCGCCCTTGTGCGTCTCCCTTTGCCCGCTTGCAGAGAGGGCCCACTTCATGAGCCTGGACACCGGCAAGTCCGGCCCCAACAAGCTGCACCGCTACTCGTACACCAAGCCGGGGGCGCCCTGCAGCCCGGTGAGCGGGAGGGTCCAATCGCCTGGGCGGAGAGGGTAGCGTGTGGGGCTCAAGACTGGTCCCCACATGCAGCCCCTTGCCTGGCACGCATACAGCAAAGCTCATGACCTGCCCGCCTGCCTGTCTCTCCCGCCTTGCCTGCCTGCAGCACAGCCCGCGTGTGGGCGAGTGCTGGCGCACCGGCCAGGTGGGGCGTGCTGGCAATCTGTGCTGCCGCAGAATGCCGGCCCCTCTGGAAATCTGGCATAGGCCGACTCTTTGCTGCCTCTCCTGCTGATGTGCAGGCCAGCAGCCACGGCACCTGGTTCAGGCCCTCTCCCAACGCCGCGGTGCAGCATCAGCAGACTCGCCAGTGACCCTCAGGTGGAGCCGAATTGCGCGATGCGGGCCAGCTCATGAGAGCGCGACGCGCCCAACCAACTCTGAGACTCTTGGGGCTAGACAGTGACCCACGCCACACATGGCGGTTCATCAGCTCGCGCCCCTGCATTTTTGATAGCGACCACTCCAATTTTGATAGAGCCATGTTTTCTGTTGTCCGTCCGCCTGACCGCACACGCGGCATTCCGAACCCTCAGCGACGCCATGCCCTTCAGCGACTTGCTTTCCTATCCATTCGACGGCCTCTGGATTCCCTTTCATCGATTGCACGTTTCCCCCTGATAGCGTTTTGCATGTAAAGTAGCCATCCCAGCGGGCGGGCTCCACTGCCCGCTGGCGGCAGCTGGCGGAGGCGGGCCAGTTGCCCAGTCACACGGCGGCGATTTAAACCCAAGACTTTAGATCGTTTCCCTGTCTGAAACGATGCCTGGGTTGAGCTCGCAAGCAGGAGAGGCGCCGGCAGAGGTGGGTTCCCTTGTTTGCTGGGGTAGAGGAGCTGGCTAAGGCTGAAGCTCATACCGGCCGTTTGTGGAAGGAGGTCAGGCTTGTCAGCACATCCGGCAGCAGACTTGAGCCGCCACCTTGAGCCGCCGCCGCCGCCGCCCTCCCTTGCGCTCCCTGTGCTCCGCTCCCTGTGCTCCGCACTGAACCCCCAACCTCCTTGCCCTGCTTGACCTTGCAGGCTCCAGCGCAGGCGAGCAAAATGATGCTGCTTCAGGTGACGGAGACGGAGTGGGCGGTGGTGATGCTTGACGAGGCAACTGGGCAAGTGCGGGAGCTGCACATTGATGCGGAGACAGCATCCAAAGTGCAGCAGGGCACCCTGTCGCCCGAGCAACTGGCAGCAATGCTGGCGGAACAGCAGCAGGCAGCGGCAGCAGACGGCGGCGAGGCAACAAAATGATAGCCGGTCGTGGCGGACCTGCTCCCTGCCTCTGCTGGTTTATTCACCCTGCCCTTTTATGCCTCTTCCAATTGTGTTGCTCCCACCACCGCCACGGTGCTTGAAGAGATGGAAGCGGAGGCCAGCTGGTGACATAGCCTCCTCGTGTTCATGCCAGCAAACTCATTACACACAGTGTGCGGAGCATGCATTGCAAGCCAGCCAGCGAGGCCGTGTGCGTGCAAGGGGGTGCGCCTGAGCGTGCGCCATCACGCCTCTGCCAGGTGCTCGGCCTGCCTGAGGTGCGGGTTGAGCGCCGCCTGCCACAGCTCCTGCCAACTCAGCTGCACGGGCCGGCGCAGCGGTGGCAGCAGCCCGCCCCCGGGCCCCGCGGGGTCTGCCAGCAGCAGCGTGCCGCTGCTGCTGCTGCGCCGGGTGAACAGGTCGCTGTGGGTGGCCAGCCAAAGCAGCAGCAGCTCCAGGGCGCTGCCCTGCGCCATCCCCTGCTGCTGCTGCTGCTGCAGGTAGTGGCGAATTGCGGCGCCGGCCAGCCCCGATAGCTGTTGGAACACGGCATGCTGGGAGGGCGCCCACAAGCTGCTGCTGCTGCTGCCAGCCAGCGCCGCGCTTGCCTCGGCTGCCGACAGCACCCCCACCCGCAGCGGCAGCAGGGTCCCTGCCTGCTGCAGCTGCACAACTGCCGCAAAGGCGCGGCCGCAGCGCAGCAGCACCGCGGTGGCGGTTGCTGCCTGCGCCGCCGGCTGCTTACCCTCCAGCAGCTCCAGCGTGGTGGAGGGCAGGCGGCTGAGGCTGGCTGCCAGATCTGCCAGCGTGCCTGCAGGCTGGCTGACAGGAGTGGGCAACACGACCGGCTGCTGCTGCTTCTCCAGCTGCTGCTCCCACACCGCGTCTGCAAACGGGTAGGAGTAGAGGGAGGCAAGGTGAGTGAATGGCGGACATGCCAAGCAACAGGCATTCCATGCATGTGGCTGATTGGGGTGACTGGGAGGAGCCACGGCAGTATCGTCGGAAGCAGCTTGCAACGCACCTACGTCGCTGCGGCTTGGTCTGGGCGGCAGAGCCGGGCCCTCTGGCAGCGTGGAGCCCAGGTGGCCGGTGGCTGCCTGCACTGCCGCCACCAGGCCCGCACCCGTGGCCAGCAGCTCGCGCAGGCGTGGCGTCGTCTGCCCGCCCGATGCCGCCAGCTCATCGACCAGCCCCTTGACCACGCTCTCCAGCTGGTTCAGCTGCAGAGTGTGAGGATAGGGTGCCAAACGGGCACGTCAGCAGGAGCAGGCATATGGCAGCGGCGGTGGCCGGCGCCGCAGCTGCTGCCCCTGGTGCTGTTGCCCTGCCGCTGTCTCCGGGCTTCCCCATCGCCCACGATGCACCTGTTTCTGAGCTCCCAGCACGAGGGCACGCAGGTCGGGTGCAGCCATGGCGGCAGGCGCTCGATCGCGGCGTGCAAGCACCACTGCCAGCTTGATGAAGCACACTGTTGCGAATGCGAGCAGCGGGGCATTGCCAGGGCTTTGCGTGTTGCTCAACGTGCGCTCAACCCATGACACGTCTCCCCATGGCGATGCTGTGAACCCTGCCATTGCTCCCCTCATTGCTGCTGGGCAACAGGTCAAGGACGCCCAGGTACGTGGTTGCTTGCGCTGCATGGCATGGCAGGGCGGTTTTGAACGGGGCGCAGCAGAGGCCGAAGGAGGCCGAGCAGTGGAGGGACCATTGCCAGAAACGTTCAGCAGCAGCTGGGGGCCGGCGCGGCGGTCGCTGCCGGTCGTCAGCCTGCCACCATCTGGGGCACAGCTTGGGACCGCTCCCAACGACTTCCAACACTATTGATGGAGGGAAGAGGCGATCTGGGCCGCCGGCCAGGCGGCGGCTGCAACAGGCAGCAGTGCGGGCAGCGGCAGTGGGCGGCAGGCGGCACGCGGCGTGGCAGCGCCGCTGCTGGCCGGTGCCAGCCCCTGTAGCCTCATCACCACTGGTAGTGTGGGCCTACTTGGATAACTCACGAAAAAGAGCTTGCTGCTGCGCCCTGCTGCAGCCTCCTCTGCTCATTCTCCCACCCTCCTGCTCACCTCATCTGCCATGGCGCCCAAGACCATCACGCTGGCCGAGTGCCAGGAGCACATGAGCGACAAGGACTGCTGGCTGGTGATTGATGGAAAAGTGTATGATGTGACCCCTTTCCTGGATGAGCACCCCGGCGGCTTCGACACGCTGGTCAGCAACTCAGGTAGGCACCTGCTGCCAGCCGCCGTCGTAACAGGCGGCAGGCTCGCCTGTCAGAGGGGAGGAGCGTATTGGGCGGGGAATAGGAGCTGAATGACGGCTGCGGCAGGTCCACGACGCTGCATGCCCCCCGCTGCAGCAGCAGGTGCTGCTGTCAGTGGCCGACGGACCTGTGCCTCCTGGCCTGCCTGCGTGGTGCCCGACCCTTTGTGGTGGCTGGCGGCCGGGTGCAGGCAAGGATGCGACCGAGGACTTTGAGGAGATTGGGCACAGCCGCGCAGCCAAGGAGATGCTAACCAAGTATTACATCGGAGAGTTTGCGGTGAGGCCCATCATTGTTATATTCAGATTATGGTTCTTCTTTGAGGGGGAGGGCAGCGGGCAGCAGCAACGATGCCTGGCACCCTGCTCAGCACGCCGCGCTGCCAGGCGGCCCACTGTGTTGAGCGCGCTGTAGGGGATGGTGCATGCGAGAGCCAGGCGCGTGCTTGACGGTGGCCTCTTCGCCTGCAGGGCGGTGCGCCGGCCAAGACCGCAAAGGCCGCCAAGCCGGCCGCCGCGGCCGCCGCCTCCAGCAGCAGCATGCTCAGCTCAATCATTAAGGCGCTGCTGCCCATCCTGGTGCTGCTGGCGGCGGTGTACTACATGCAGCTGACACAGCAGGCCAAGTCGGCATGAGGAGGCGCCTGCCTGTGGGAGCAGGCAGCTGCAGCGGCAGGAGGAGCATCGACCCACCTGCCGGCATCCATCGTGGCCCCGCCTGGCGTGCCTGGCTGCCGCTGGTCCCGCCTGCTGCCCCATCAACGCATGCCACTGCCCACCGAGAGCACTGCACTTGTGGACTGCTGCTTGCTGGCACCCTCTCATCCCCTCTCATTTCATGTCACTCCGACCTGCCTGCACACGGCCCTGTGGATCGGTGGCCAGCAGGCACCATAGCTCCCATCTTTGTCTACCCCTCTCCTTTGCTGCTGCCAAGTCTCTTCGCTCGCTCCTTCTTTTGACTGATTGTTTGCCACACCAAGTGAATCTGTAAGCAGCCACACATGCAAGCAGCAGCAACAGCACCCCTGGAGCATCCTTCGCCGTGCCGCGTCTTCCTCTATCCGCCTGGGGACTGCCTATTACAAGGTTCCTGTTGCTAGACTGAAGCTCTTTGCACCGAGTAAGATGCAGGCTGCAAGCCACGGCATAAGCCGGAGGCATGTGGTCTATGGGGACTGATCAAATGGTGTACCGGCCTGCGGGCATGCAGTCCAGCACATGCTGCGCTATGGGCCCCGCCGAGGCGGCAGGGTCCGTACCTTGCCCGGCAGGGGCAACCGGCATGGAGCGGAAAAATCGGTGTGCGTCAGTGGGGTGCAGCAGGCGGCACACATGCAAAGAGCAAAGCAAACAGGGGAGGGGGAGATTGACAGCACGGGGGCACACAGTTCCAGCAACACAGAACTCGGACACGGTGCATAGCGAGGGAGGCATTGCCCACCAGGCAGGTGGGCACACCCGGCCGCCTGGTGAACGTGAGAGCAGAGAGAGCAAAAGCGACAAGCTGGGGAGAAGCAGGAGCGGGGCGCCTGCTGCAGGAGGCCAGTCAAGAGGAAGAGAGAGACAAAATCAAAGCATTGTGTCTGTGTGTTTGTCCTATGCAGCTGCTCACGTGGCGCGGCTAGGGTGGCTGCCAACAGGCCAAATAAACAAGCAGCATGTGGGGAAAACTGTGGCGTGGATGCCTGCAGCCGGCAGCAGCGAGCCGCCATGGAAGGGAGCCAGCCATGCGTCAGCTGGCAGGCGGCCCGGCCAGCCACCATCGCCAGCTCTGGCAGCCGCAGCCTGCTCATGCGGCCCGATCGGTGCCACTCAGCCGCCACCTCAGCGCGTGGGCATCTCGTTGTACCTTGACTTGTCCTTGCCCTTGGCTGCCTTGGCCCGCGCCTTGGCGGCCTCGGCGGCCGCGGCCGCCGCTGCCGCCGACGCCGTCTTCTTGGCCGCCGCCGCTTTCTTCTTGGCCAGCGCCGCCTTCTTGGCCTTGATGGCCTCGGTGTCGATGCCGGCGCCCGCACTCTCCGCCTCCTCCTCATCAGCCGGCTGCGCCTGGAGGGGAGCAAGGGGTCAGGGGGACAGGGTGCACTGTGAGCTGACCGGGGATGCAGTTTTGGCAGGAAAGACAGGGGTTGGCAAGGCCACCCCCAGACCACGCACCTTGTTCTCCGCGCTGCTGTCGGCGCTGGTGGCGCCGCTGCCGTTGGCTGCCGCGGCGGTGCCGTTGGCCGCCCCGCCCGCCTGCGCCTTCTTGGCCTTGCGCTTGGCCGCCTTGCTGGAGGCGCCGCCACCGGCCGCCTCTGCCTCCGCCTCCGCCTTGGCATCCAGCCCCAGCTCTGCAAGCACCGCATCCAGATCCTCCAGCTCCTTCTTCTTCTGCTCCTGCAACACCACACGCACCAGGCGAGGCCGAGGAAGGCAGTCACGTGTGCAGTGTGCAATTCTGAGAGAGCGAGGTGGGCTAGCAGGAGGGTTGGGTGGGGAAGATGATGGAAGCTGGTTATATAGCAGGCAGTGCACAGCGACGCGGCAGCGACGCGGCCACCCTGCCGTGGCGGGCGCCCACCTTCTTGGACATCTGCGGCTGCAACTTGGCTGCGGCTGCGGCGGCGGCGGCATCTGGCTGTGGCGGCGCCGCCGCCTCCTCCTCCTCCTCCTCGCTCTCCTCCGCCTCATCATCGCTCTTGGGCAGCTCAATGCCCAGCTCCGCCTCCATGTCGACCTGATCCTCATCATCAGACTGTCAGGGAGGGGCAGCGGAAAACAGCGACTCGGTCGGTGGGACGCGATGGCCGGCAGAGAACCTCCACAGCAGCAGGCAACGTTTGCAGCTACAAAGTTCATGCACATACAGCCACAAGCTGCTGGCAAGCAGTGCATGCCGCTAAGAGTGCGCGGCACAGGCGGGAGCTGCTCCAAGGCGTCAGGGCAGGGGGAGGCGGCGGCCCGCTGCCCACCGCCGTCGGCCAACCCACCTCCTCCTCGCTCTCCGTCTCTGGCTGGGGCTCATCCTGCTGCTCTTGGAAGCCGTAGGAGGCAGCGTTGTAGCCGCCCTTGGCCTGCACAAGAATGATGGAAGCCACGAGTTGGGATGTGGGGCATTGCGCCATGCAGGCGGCTGCGATCGCCCAAAGAAGCCAGCAAGGCTGCCTGGCCTACCCACCTCGCTCCAGCCCTCGCCGTGAGCGGGGGCAGGCTCTCCCCAGTCCTCGTCCTCAGAGTCGGCCCAGTTGCTCAGCCCCGTGCCGCTCTTCGAGAATATGGCCGCCTCCAGCTCTGCGTGCTTGTCAGCACCCTCATCCTCCTTGGGGGGCTTCTTCTCCTTCTTGCTCTTGCTCTTGGCCAGAGCAGCAAAGATATTGCCGCTGCTCGACATGCTGGGACGCCTAGATCGGCAGGGGTGGGCTGAGGCGGCGAGCAGAGCGCAAGAACGGGGTTTGCGGCTGCGTCTGTGCTTGGGCAGTATGTGGGAGCTCTGCAACAGCGAGGCAGTGAACCGTGAAGAAGGACGGGGCAAAGGGTTGCTGCAATGGGCATGGTGGCGAGCGAAGCGCCATCCACTCTGAGCTGGAGCGCAGCACAGCATGATATGGCTGCCCCTCTTGTTTCCGGCGCTGTGGGCCTCACAAGAGTTACTGGGAATGATAAGGGGGACTGGGGGCAGCCGGCAGGGCTTGCGATGCGGAAGAGGGGAGAAGGCACCAACGGGCAGGCAGGCGGGCAGCGTCTCGCTGCGGCTCGCAGGCTCGCAGGGCACAGGCGCGCTCGTTTGGTAAAAGGAACAGATACACACACACACACAAAACAAAAATACGGGGTCTCAAACTCATTGTAACAATCACTCTCTGACAGTGCTCCCTCGGTTGGCTCCCGTCACTCTGCCTTGGGCGCGGCGGCCTTGCCCGCGCCCCGCTTGACCTGCGAGTAGGCAAACACGCCCGCCAGCGCGATGGCCGTGCCCACCAGGTTCTGCTGCGTGACGGGGTTGCGGAAGACGAGGATGGAGGAGGCGATGACCACCACCCGCTTCACGCTGTTGCCGATGGAGTGGGTGACGGGGGAGACGCGCTGCAGGATCATGTACGACACCTGCTGGTAGGCGTGGAAGCAGACGGCGGACAGCAGCGCGCGCTGGTACACCAACGCCGTGTCGGCCACGCCACGGGCGGCCATAGCGGCGGGCATGAAGACGGGTCCGTCCACCAGCAGGGCGATGGGTGCCAGCAGGAAGAAGGAGATGATGGTGATGGTGGAGAACAGGTTGATGTTGTCCAGGCTGCCCTTACCTTCAATGGCATGTGTTAAGCATGATCGGGGGGAGGATTTGGTGAGGCAAAGCATGAGATGTGCTTCGCAGGCACGGCACCCGGGAGAGCGGTAGGCTTGCCACCCAGGAGGGCGTTGCATGGAGCGAGGGGCTGCCGGAATGCAGCATTCTGGATGCACAAGGGCAGCAGCAGCATGCCGGCGGCGCCTCCTGCTCACCCTTGCCCATGAACTTCTTGCTCAGCACGTTGCGAGACTGGAAGGTCACGTTGCTGCCCATGGCTGCAGGCGGGGCCGCCGGGCACGCACGCAGGAAAGATTGGAAGGCGCCAGATGCAGAGGAACGCTGATGTCGGTGACAGGCTGGAGGGGGGTGTCCACATGGTGCGGGTGGCTGCCACCTGCACCAAATCTGCTTGCAAAGCTGCGCCTCGGCTCACCCGACAGGAAGCCCTTCCATGTGAAGGACAGCTCGGCTGTGGAGGCCAGCACCACGCCGCCGATGATGGGCAGCAGGGTCAGCACCACCGGCAGGCTGGGCTTGTCGCCGAGGAACAGCGCTGACAGAAGCACTGCAGCAGAGGAGGAGCGTGGTGGGAGTTGGGGGTTACGGGCGGGCAGCGGTGGTAAGCTCAAGTGTGAGAGGGGTGTGGATGATGCATCCGCACAGCAGGACAGCGGCTGCCTAGGAGCCCAGCTGGCGCCCCTCGTCCAGCTGCCCGCGCGCCCACCCACCCGAGAACATGGGTTCCAGCGCCTTGATGGTGTGCGTGAAGGAGACAGCCACAGCGCCCAGGCTGATGTTGGTCAGCGTGTTGCCCAGCGTGTGCACCACAGCCAGCGGGGAGACAGACACAGCCTGCGAGCAGGTGGGCGCGCGTGGCTGGTGCAAGGTTAGGGGCAGCGGAGCTGAGGTGCAGGGGCGGGATGGGCAGGGTGATGTGGTGGCGACCCGCCGGCAGTCGACGATTGGCAGCCGGCAACCAGATTCCTGCCCATCCTTTGCTGCCATCTCACATTCTCCACGAAGCTGCCCTCTGCCTTCTTGTGCAGGCGGGTGAGCCACATGGCGCACGCCAGCAGGCCGCCAACCAGGAACTGGAAGGCGGTGATGGTGACGGGGTAGGGGAAGCCCTTGAGCAGCTGCTTGTTGTAACTGCGGGGATGGATGGCGCATGAGTGCAGCGATGCGGAGGGGGTCAGCAATCGCCAGAATGCCAGAATGCCAGAATGCAGGTCGGTGGTTCGGTTGCGACAGCCGGTCCGAGTGTGATGGGTGCAGGCAGGGCTCACATGTTGAACTGGATGTTGAACAGGTACCAGAGGCCAAACAGGATGCCCAGAGTGAGCGTCTGCCCAATGCCGCCCTGCTCCTTTGGCTCCTCTGCTGCCGCTGCTGCCACGACTGCAGGCGGCCGGGAGGCGGCGGCGGGCACGCTGGTCAGTAAGCTCGCGGGCAGCGGCCATTGCCGTGCTTGTGGGCCCCCACCGCGTCCAACAGCTCACCTGATCCGCTCGCCGGGGCTGCCTGGGCCACAGTCAGCACGCTGCGGCGGCCAGGCAGGACCGATGGCGCCCTGCGGAGAGGCGCTGCTGGTCGCAGCTGTGCATGGCTATCAAGGAGTGGCTGCGGCAGCTTGGTTGCACCCACGGGGCGGGCTCTACACAGCACCGGCCGAACGCTGCCGCTGCATGCGCCCAAGGCTGCCGCTCTCTGGCTGGAGAGGCCCAAAGTTGCCGTCATGATGCTGGCAACTACGATCGCAAAGCGGCGGTGCGACGGGCCTGCCAAATTCTGTCCATCCATCCCGGCCAAGCTGGCAACCTCATCCTGCCGCCTGTCCATGGCTGTGTCTTTTGCGCCAGCTGCACGCATGCATGCGGCAATGCTGGATGGCCCTCATGCCAGTGGGAAGCGCAGAGTTGAGGTGTTGGCCTTCAGAAATGCAGCCGTTCTGTCACGCTGGGCTGCGCAAACACCCTGGTCAGCACAGCACACGCACAATGGGTCAGCCCTTTGCAGCGTTGCGCAATTCCAACCCTGCTTGATGCTGTCCTCCAACGTTTCACTCTCAAACAGCTGCTATCCAGAACCATCGTTGGAGCACTGCTGCCAAACACCAGCACGCGCGGGCACGCCCCAGGGACATGCCAGCAGCCGCATTCCGCGTACACGGATGCTGCAGCACTTGCAGCTAGCGGCAGCAAGCCCAATTGCCCTCCAATCCTCACTGTGCACCTGATCCTGCATCTGCCCGGTCCACACTGCAGCCGTCCAACCAGTCAACCCCCCAACAGCAGCTGGCAGCAATGTCGCCCCAGGGCAGTGGCGCCGGCTGCCAGCTGGACAAGCTCATCAAGCCAAAACAAATAGTCCCTGCTCATGCCTCCCCCCACTCCTGGCATCAATTCAATGCTGCCATTGAAGGCTAGGGACCTGTTAAAGTGCAGTGGCGGCACTAGTCGCGCACGCAGACAACAGGTGCGGCCAGCTGCGAGCTGCTGCTGGTCCGGAGGGCGCAGCTGCTGCAGCTCGTCATGACCGGGTGGGCACATCAAGCCGCTGCATGCCGGCCATGCGGCAATTGACGCCGGGCTGCTGAGCGCCTCCCATGCGGCGCCGCCGCTTCCATCCCCGTGGCTGCCGTCAAGCCTTGCGCGTTTACTGCGAGTTGGGGCCCTTCTTGCGGCCGAACCCAACGACCACGTTCACAAAGCGGCGGTTGTACTTGAGACGCTTCATGGCGCGGCCCTGCAGGCGAAGAGGCAGCCGCGGTGAGGTGCGGGCGGTCGTGCTCAGCGGCGCGCTTGAACAAACAGCTCATCACTCCTGGGCTGCTGTAAGCTCCCCATGCTGTTTTCATGTGAGCAGCCCCGCTTAGCACCAGGCAGACACTCAAGCCGCTGCGTGGTGGTTCACGCAGCAGCGCAGCCTGGCCAGGCAGGCCCAGCTGGCCGCCGCTCCTCCCCGCGCCGCGCACCTTGGGCTGCTTCTTCTTCTCCTGCTTTGGCACCTTGGGCGTCTGGCCGCGCACCTTACCAGCACGAGCAAGGGAGCCGTGCACCTTACCTGCATGGCAGGGCACACACAGTGAGGGGCGCGCATGGGCGTGGGGGCGGACCGGCGGGCGCAGCGGCGGGTGTCAGGGGCACAGGCACGCCACGATCGAGCTGCCTGCAGCGCCGCTGGGCCCAGCATGCTCCTGAGCGCCACTGCACGCTCGCCGGCCCACGCCTGCTGCCTCTACGCACCCATGGTTGCAAAGGTACTGGTCCACTCGTCGCCAAGAGAGGGCCAGGGAGGCGAGGGAGGCCGTCTTGACTGCCCCATGCAGCGCCACGGGGTCCCAGGCTCATGCACGCGTGGCCTCCCCAGCGGCCAGCTGAGTTCAAGCTCAGCCTCTGCATTGAATCCAGGCTCCCCGTTGACCGCCGCAGTCTGCCATCCAGCCCACCCCGCCTACCATCGCGACACTGTAGCTGCGTGCCAGCCAGACCCAACCCAGGGCGCTGCTTGGCGGTTGTAGGAGTATTCAAGGCACACATTGGCTTAATCTAGGCGCAGCGGGCCCCCAGCAGCACACATGGCGTTCAGGGGCCTGGTTGCGGGCTCCCTGCTCAGAAGGGTGGCCGCCAGTCTGTCCCCGCAGGTGTGTGGAGGCACCTGGTAGTCGCAGATGCCCGCCTGCTGCTTGCCAGCCACCTCTGCCGCCCGCCGCCGCTGCTGTCGCCGCCGCCTGGTGCCGACAGGCTCTTGACTGCCATCTGCACGCTGCTTGCAGGGGGTGGCAGCAGCTGGCTGCGGCGGCAGCGTGCTGGAATCTCTGCAGCAGCAGCACCCCAGCAGCGCACTGCCGGCATGCTTCACGCTGCTGCGGCACTTTGTGGCGGCCCCGCCGGCTGGCGCTGCGGCCGAGGCCGCGCTGGCCGAGGCGCCACCATCCCTGGAGGACCTGCTCCTTCCGGCCATCCCGCTGGAGCAGCAGGAGCGACAGGGGCTGTACCGCGACCTCATAGTGCCGCTGTATGACCTCAGCCGGCAGCCGGTGGGCACCGTCACGCTAGGGGGCGACATCTTTGATGTGCCCATCCGCCGCGACATCCTGCACCGCGTCGTGCGCTGGCAGCTGGCCAAGCGGCAGCAGGGTACGCACAAGACCAAGACGAGGTCCGAGGTGCGCGGCGGCGGGCGCAAGCCGCGGCCGCAGAAGGGCAGCGGGCGCTCGCGGCAAGGCACCATCCGAGCGCCGCAGTGGTGAGCATGGATGGAGGCTGAGGCTTGGTTGGGCAGCTAGGCAGGCACCTGCTGGGTGGTTCAGCAGGCGCGCCTCCTGCATGCACCCGCTTGCGGCTACCTGCTGGCGCCTGCCAGCCCACACCGCCCCAATGTGCCTTGTGAGCCCCACTCCCGCCATCAACCCTTTGGTGCCCCACGAGCCTGCTCACGCACCTCCCTTGCCCGGCCCGTCCCCCCCCACCACCTGTGGCTCAGGCGCGGTGGCGGCGTGGCGCATGGCCCCGTGCCGCGGTCACACGAGCACGACCTGCCCAAGCGCGTGCGGCGGCTGGGCCTGCAGTGCGCGCTGTCGGCCAAGGCCTGGGAGCGGCGCCTGCTGGTGGTGGACAGCCTGCAGCCGGCGGAGCCCAAGACGGTGGGGCGCAGCAGGCTGCCTGTGGATCGGCATTGCTTGGGCAGACGGATGGGGCTCGTCGCTGCTGCTGCCACACGGCAACTGGCAGCTCCCTGCCTGCTCAAGGCTTGATGCGGCGCTGCCCCGCCTCCCCCTGGCTGCCGCAGAAAGTGATGCTGGACAATGTCGATGCCTTGCTGGCGGATGCGCCCCGCCGCTCGGTGCTGCTCTGCGACAGCAGCAAGCTTGGGGAGGATGGCGGGTGGGTGGCGCGGCGGTGCCGGGCCGCCTGGGTTGCCATCCGCGGCTGTGGCAGCCATTGGCATCGCCTTGCGCCTTGCATGTGCATTTCCGGGGTTGGGATGCTGTAGCGGGAGTTGAGTTAGCAGAGGTGCACACGCCACCTGCGAGGGCAGTGCAGGCTGTTGACTGTCGCAAGGCTTGCCCTGTGTGTGCAGGGAGGTGCTGCGGCGCACGGCAGCCAACCTGCCCTGGGTGGACTGCATCCCGCAGCAGGGCCTTAACGTCTACTCCATCCTGCAGGTGGGGCTGGAGGGTGTCTTGGTGGTGCAGCTGCTCTTGAGTGTGGTGTTTCTCGCCTCTGCCGTGCTCCTTGTTGGCCACCATGTTCACCCTTTCCCTGCCTGTATGCTGCACACCTCCACGCCTGCAGCGCGACTACCTTGTGCTCACCAAACGTGCGGTGGACCTGCTGATGGAGCGGCTGCGGCGACCCATCAAGCCGTGTAGCCCCACGCCGTGACAGCGCTGCAGCCCGCGCCGACAACACTGGCGCTTCATTGCTGGCTGGCGTTCTGGCCAGCTTGCTTGCCCATCGACCTTGCATCTGTTTTTGACAGCACATTCACTCTGTAAGGAAAAACACACCCCCGGCAAGCACGAGCTGTTGACATGCAGCGGTCGGTCACCCAAGGGCAATTGGGGCGCGCGTGCCGTTTGCTCCCCAGATCTTGGAATGGCCACTCTGGGGCATCCTCATTCGTTCCTGGATGCGCACATCAGTAGTGCAAGTTTGAACCCTGTCCTGCGTCCGTACAGTCAGAGTCGCCGCGTCAAACCACCTCCCGCCCCTCCTGTCCCATTCCCTGCAATTTGAAGCCAGCATATCTCGCAGCCCTACTCTGACTGGCCTGGAGCCGAAGAGACCGACCGGCAAGTGAAATCTAATCTTTTTGCAGCTTTGGCCAGTGGTCCAGCCTTCCTGGTTCAGTGCTTACTTCCTGAGAACTCGCATGGAGGCGAGCCGCGCGGCGGCGTGCAGCTTGGCTGCTCTCACCGCGCTGCTCCCCCCGCCGCCCCGCCGCTCTCTGTAGGGCATCTCGTGGTGGCCTGCATCGTGTCACGCGGCGTGTGTGAGCACCGAGGCGGCAGCTGTCGGTGCCAGGGCCATCCACGGGGCTGTGGATCGGCAGGAGCATGACCTTTGTGGAGGTCATGGAGTCGCCACAGAAACCGGCGGCGGCGGTGCCGGGCGCGAGGACTCGCGCGACGCGGGTGCTGCTGGCTGTGGCCGCCCTGCTGCTGTGCGCGCCCATGGCGTGGCTGGTCACTGCCACCCTCACGGTCAAGCAGATGTCCTTGAGCCGGGTCCAGGTCCGGCTCAACTTTGCAGCCCTGATAGACTGGAGCACCGAGGGCCCGTCCATGTCTGCAGACTCCACATGCTCCCAGGTGAGAGAGCCCTGGTGTCTACTCTGCTGGCGCTCCCAAGTACTGCACCTGCTGTTGCTGCTGCCTTGGACCCGTGCTGCTGGATGCCTGCTGGGTGAAGCAGGCAGCCACAGCTGGGTGTGCTCGCCATGCGCGCTGCGCAACCCGCAAACTTGCCTGGCCACCCTTTGCGCCGCGCGCCCGCATGCAGGCCTTGGGAATACAGACCGTGGCGCTCATGTTCCTCACCACGGGGCCCATCCCGCATGAGCGCTCGTGGCGGCTGTGGCTAGACGGCGCAGCGGGCTGGCTGCCCTACCAGGGGCTGCCGGCAGCACAGGTTGGCATGGAGCAGGCACCACCCCACGGCCGGCGTGCATGGCGACCGCCTGCTTGCCCCTACAGCTCAGATTCGCGGTGCTGAGCGCCATTTGATTCCTGCCTGCCTGCTTGCCGCTGCGCAGGGAGCGGCGTGCAGCCCCACGCCACAGCGCTGGGACAAGCTGGTGTCGGCCTGCGCCAACAGCCAGCAGCAGCACCTGTACAAGCTGTATGTGCACGCCCTGCCCAACTTTACAGGCGAGACACCCTGCACTGCTCTGTTGGTGGCTGGGGCGTGGGTGATTGGGGTTGGAGATGGTCCGGTTTTGTGTGTGCGTGTGGCTGCTGGGGCTGTAGCCCAAGTGCGCGGCCCACCACCTCGGAAGAGATGTGCCCTGGCACCATGCCTCCTGGGCTTGGGAGCCATCCTCGCTCAAGTCGTCACCGGTTCCTGCCTCGTCCCCTGCTGAGCTGTGCTGTGCTGTTCGCTGCAGGGTACGACCCCGCCAGCATCTTCCACGGCCGCCTCATCCCGTACCGCGTGGTGACGGAGTGGGGGGACATGTCGCTGGTGGTGGCGGAGCGCCTGCTGCTCAAGGCTGCGCTGCAGGATCCAGCCAACTCCAGGTGGGCGGGGGCGGGGGCTGCTGCTGGCTTGGGGCAGTGCGGGGCAGGGCACAAGTGGCAACGCGCAGGGCTGGCCGGGCGGCCGGGCGCTGCCAGGTTGGGGAGCTGTGCAGAGCACACTTGCGAAGGATGCGAAGCATGCGGTCAAGGTGCCCTGGCCAGCACCCTGACCCGCTGCTTCCCATCCTTTATACCTCACCGTCCTCCACCCCTCACGCCTGCCGATTCCCCGCCCGCAGGTTCCTGCTGGTCAGCGACAGCGGCATGCCCCTGTACGACCCGCTCACCTTCTACCAGCAGCTCATGCACGAGGACAAGTCGCGGGTGAAGTCGTGCCGCGTGGGCTACCTGTCAGACTACCGCTGGCACCCAGTCATGGCGGTGAGGCGCCGTCGCAGCAGCAGCACAGCGCAGTGGAGCACAGCCGGCGGGGCCTACCGCCAGTGCGCCAGCTCCCACACAGCAGCAGAAGTGCAGCGTCCCAGAAGGATGCGCCCTTGCTGCACAGTGCAGCACAGCCGGCTTGCTGTGGTCCCTCACCCCGTCCCTCACGCTTCTGCCCCCGCGTGCAGCTCAAGGGCGTGCGGCGGTCGCAGTGGCGCAAGAGCAGCCAGTGGTTTGGCCTGACGCGGCAGCACGCTGAGCTGGTGGCAAACGACCAGCAGCTGTATGCTGTGTGAGTGCACGGGCATGTGGCGGCTGGGGCGTCTGCTGGCTGCGCATGGCCCGGCCCGCTTGGCTGCTTGGGTCTGCCTTGTCCGCGCTGAAGGGCAGGCGGTGGAGCGCAGGCGCCGACGCGCGCCCGCTGCTGCTGCCCACCGGTGTGGCACTCTTTCTAATCCTCCCCTGCCCTGCCTGCCACCGGCCCCTGCAGGTTCAACCGGTACTGCCGTGGCTGGGACCAGCGCAGGGATGTGGAGTGCTACCCAGGTGGGTGCCGCGCCGCTGCCTGCCTGCTGTTTGCACATGGGCCGCCCAGACCCAGCCCATGGTGCCAGGCCCGCCCGGGGGCCCTGCCCGTGCCTGGCCGCCCTTGTGCCTGCAAGACAAACAAGCACTCACGCATGCAAGCGAGTGACCAGCCCCGTTGCCTCCTTCCCTGCCTGCCCTGCAGATGAGCACTACATCCCCACCCTGCTGTCGGTGCGGGGCCTGGAGAATGAGACGTACTGCAAGGGATACGGCCTGGCAGCAACAAACTGGAGCTCGGGCGGCGCCCACCCACGCGCCTGGCGGTAGGAGCCGCTGCCGCGCGTCGCCATGTCGCCAGCCTGCGCCGTGCTGATCAGCTGTGCCTGCCGACAGACACACCCTGCCAGCCAGCCTCTGATAGCGCCGCCCTGCCTGCCGACGTGCAGGAGCCGCGAGATCAAACCCTGGCTGATGGAGAGCCTGCGCACGACGGGGCTCAGCTCGCGGCTCCTGCAGTGCAGCAACGCCAGCACCGTCATCAGAGGTAGGGAGGCCCTGCTGTGCTGCAGGGCTGCCGTGCGCTGCTTCCTGGCAGTGCCCTTGTGAAGTGCCGCCCTGCGGTCTTGCGTGGCAGCCGGACCCGCGCCTCCTCGCTGGGCTGATATGTGGCTGCCCGTCTGCTGCTGCTGCGCCTGCCTCGGAGACGTACGGTGCCCCTGCGCACCTGCTGCTTGCCGCAGATGCGCAGCAGATGTTCCTGCCCCTGCGCCCCGCCCTGGAGGCCGCCGAGCAGCAGGAGGCCTGCCAGCTGCTGCGGGGGGGCAGCAAGGAGCTGATAGACAAGTTTGAGCGCCCCATGCCCGGCGACTGCCCCCTCATAGGTCTGCTGCTGCCTGCCCTGCCGTTTCCCTTTGTGTTGCTGCGTCCTGCCGCCTGCCTCCCGTGCTGCTGGTGGTGGCGGGAGCTGCACTCCCTGTGCTGCGCTGCCCTTGCGCCGGTCACATGACAATGCTGCCGCTGTGCCCCTTGGCCCCTCCCTGCTGCTGCGCCTGCAGCCCGCAAGTTCCCAAAGTTCACTACGGTAGCAGTGCACTCGCTGCTCAAGCGCACCTGCCTGGGGGGCAGCCTGACCGGCAACTGCACCGGCATCAAGGCGGCGGCCGTGCTGCAGCCCCGCAGTGCGCCGGCGCAGGCACAGGCAGCGCAGGCGGCACAGGGCGCGCAAGCAGCGCAGACAGCGCAGGCGCAGGCAGCCCGTGCGGCAGAGAGGGCGCGGGCGGCGCAGGCAGCCCGGGCGCAGGTAGCGCAGGTGGCACGGGCAGCCCAGGAGGGGCAGCAGGCATCGCGGGCGCAGGCAGCTCGGGTGGCGCAGGGAGCGTTGGCGGCGCAGCGGCCGATACGGAACTGGCGTGCCTTGCTGCACCGGGCAGACACTGTACCTTGCCAGCTGTGCGGCCACCGAGCTCTCGCCTCCAACGGTGAGGATGTTTATGATAGCACTGAACACTTGAACATTGCAAACACAGGCCACGTCGTGTGATGCGGCCACCCTCCCTGCATTATTTGTATTGCAGTATGCCATATGCCCTTCTTTGTGTACCTGTCGATTCCTTTCATGCATCTTCCATCCTTCCCTAGCTGCACAATGTTACATGCAAAGCATGTGTTGCCCCCTGATGTGGCACCCTCCCGATTGGGCAACCCCCGCCCCCGCTCGCTCCTGGCAGCCCGCGCGGCGCTCCCCTCCCATACGTGAACTGACCCCATAGAGCCATGTTTGAGGGTTGAGCGGGGCGGAGCGGGGCTGCTTGCACACGTGATGGCATGCACGCTTCAACGCTCCCGCTGTCATCTCACCTCTCTAGCGTCAGAAATACAACTCTTACAAGCCAACCAACACGAACAGAGAGACCGAACAACAGAAATGAACAGGAAATATGAAGCCGCCACAGGCGGCAGCACCTTTCAGCGGAGACGGCAAAGCGTACAAGGCACACTTCTTCAATGGTTCTTGCAATTGCCACCCTTACCGGTTATACAGCCACAGTGCCGCCCACACCGCGCACCATTCTTCTTGCAGCTGCAGTTCCGGGTGCAGGCGCCGCGGCAGCCGCAGCGCACGGCTGCCTTGCCGCCGCCGGGCTGCGCCGCCATCGCCACATTGAGAGACACCACAGGCACTCCTCGCTGCGCCGTGCCGCTGAAGGTCAGCTCGCTGGCCAGGCTGGGTGGCACCTTAGATAGCCTGCTGGCCTGATGCATACCCTCCACCACTCCAGCTCCGCTCCGCAGCCGGTACATGGTCACGCCAAAGGGCCGCTTGATCTCC